ACCTTTACAAAACAATCTTCGTTCAAGCTAGAGAGTGGATTTACTGGCACACTAAAAGCAAAATGAACTTCCATGCTTGATCCCTGAGCTACCTTGCTTATGCCGATGGAAGCAAAACAGATACGCTGATTAGTTTGTTTTAACTTTAACTCCATTTAAACAGTATGCACAGAATTCACATAATATTCAGAATTTAAAACTGTCAAGACAAAATTTCACTCATACAAATAATTGTACTGATACATGTGTGTTTAACAACTGTTCACACTCTTAGCTGAGCAGCTCTACAGTACACAGTCAATGCACGCACGTGTAGATTGTATAGAAATAACATTCTGGAGCTTAGTCCATAAAGAACAACACAATATGGGGGGATTGGAGCCAAAAAGTAAAACATAAAGACCTAGAAGCTACGTCAAACAAGCTATTATGTTGACATGAAGACAATAATGGCCTCTGATTCATAAAGAGTGCTGCTGTGTGCACAGACAAGGCAGTGGTGGCTGTGTTCACAAAGCAGCACCATGCTGAAAGGCCAGCATCTTTGTTGTGTGGACTTTATGAGAGAATCACTGGAGCCTTGGGCAAACAGAATGTACACAGCTTTCACATGTTGTTTAATATTATGTGCTCTGTAGTAAACAAAAAAAAACTAATCAGATGTAAAATAAACCATAATAAAACTGAGTTTCTTATTTGATTATCAAAGCTAACTTACTTAAGACATAAATATATTCATTTCAGTTTATTGAAATCAAAATATATATGTATATCAGGATAGATTGTTGTTTTATCTATAGTGTATTCAAGAGCATTCCATTATCAAACAGAAGGGCACCTCTGCTCAAAGGAAAACAGCATATTTGCTTTGTTGACCACAAACCACAAACAAAAAGCGGTTCTGACAGCAAAAGCTGACGAGCCCGGTCATTGTTCTGAATCACAATGGCACAGGTCATCATGGATTATAAAGGCAGTGTGGCAGTCTGCAGCTACTGCTACAGTGTGACCAAGGTCAGCCAACACAATGGGCAAGGTAAGGCCGCTGGCTTTGTTGTGCTTCTGCATACCTGCATGGCTTATTCAGCCCAAACCAGTGAACTGGAGCCACTGTTCCATGTGGTATAGTATACATATTTTCTTTAACTTGATGCAATACTTTTCAAAACATCTAATAATCCCTCCATCGGTGTGCTTCCAGATTATCTTCTATGAGGACAGGAACTTCCAGGGTCGCTCCTTTGAGTGCAGCAGCGAGTGCTCTGACCTGCACTCCCACTTCAGCCGCTGCAACTCAATCAGAGTGGACAGTGGCGACTGGATGGTCTATGAGAGACCCAACTACATGGGCTATCAATACTTCCTGAGGAGGGGTGACTATTCAGACTACCAGTACTGGATGGGATTCAACAGCTGCGTGCAATCCTGTCGTATGATCCCTGTGGTAAGCCTCGGTCGGGCAGTTTCACCTTTTGATAATCTTTCACTGATCTCAGGGGAAATAGATCACCTTGTCTTTTTTGCAGCACCAAGGCTCTCACAGAATGATGGTCTATGAGCGCCAAGAGTTCGGAGGTCAGATGATGGAGATAACTGATGACTGCCCCTTCCTGTATGAACGCTTCCATCACAACGACATCTATTCCTGCAACGTGATGGATGGCTACTGGATCTTCTATGAGCATCCCAATTACAGGGGACGCCAGTACCTGATGCGCCCCGGTGAATACAGGCGGTTTACTGAGTGGGGAAGCATGAGTCCCAGGGTGGGATCCATCAGACGTATCACTATGTGAGGAAGCTGTTGTCTGCGCTGTTTCTGAAGCAGTGTCAATAAAGCTATCCAATAACAACAGTTCTCTCAACTCCTTTGTCTTTCAGAGGATTTGTTATTTGAAAGGTTTGCTGATGGGCTTTGTCACATTTGGTTTCTACTAGAGAAGACAGTATGCAGTTTAGACAAATGGTGCAAAACTACATTTTCCAGACTACTGTTATACGATGATCATTTCATGAGAGAATCAAATGTTACAGAGAAGATGCATGGAACTCATGCTGATAAACAGAGGATGGATGCAGAGGCACACACGTGGTTTAATCCCAGCATGTTTATTGAGGACAGACGAAGATTCAGAAATCTTCTAGCTGAAGTCAGTGATTCGCCTGAGTGAGCCGATCTTTGGACTGGCACCTCCCCAGTCGCTGTATCGGCGGTATTCGCCAGGTCTCAGATAGTAGGCCCTTCCCCTGTTGTTGGGCTCGTCTTAAAGCAGCCAGTGGCCATCGACCACACTGCATGAGTTAATGTCAGACAGACGGAAGCGGTCCTGGACATTAGGGCAATCGTCACTCACCTCCTGCATTTGGCCGCCCATGTCTGGACGCTCATACAATCTGATTTTGTAGGAACCACGGAGCTGCAGGAAGAACATGTGTGAGTCAGTCTTTGTTTTGTCTAATGTGCTGTACAGTTCTGAACTGGTGATTTACCACATAAAATGGTCCATACATTTTCCTCAAGTATGAATCCCCACCTGCAGATACAGTAGTTATAACACACAGAATCACACTAAGAATGGTTGCAGAAGCTGTCTTATCCAGAAGTTTTTCATCATCCAGCTGCATGGAGTACTAAATGGGTGGGGTTTAAACAGCTGTCCCCGAGTTGTGGAAATAACACTGTTAAAATGGATGTTTTTTGCTTTTTGGGGAATTTTTATCAGCCATAAATTTTGTTGCAAAAAGTCCTTCAAACTAGACAAAGATAAGCTTACTCATCAACGCTATATATTTCATAACTGCCACACTGCCATTCCTGCATACTTTCTCTAGCTAAGCATTGAAATACAGGTCAAATGTATTCTATATTTATTTAAATTCCAGTATTATAGGCTTTCTTTCCTTAACCCATTGCTTTTACACTAATTAATTGTCTAGATATCTCTTTCACACCAGAAGAATGAGGCTTACTGTGGGAATCATGCGGCAGGAGCGGATGCAGTCATTGATGCCAATCATGCGCTGGTTGTCAGAGTACTCCCCCCTGCGGAGGAAGTACTGGTGGCCCAGGTAGTGGGGTCTCTCATACACCATGAAGCAGCCGCTCTCCACCCGGATGGAGTTGCAGCGGTTGAAGTAGGGGTGCAGGTCAGCACAGTCGCTCATGCACTCATGGTGACGACCCTGGAAATTTCTGTCCTCGTAGAAAATGATCTGTAAATGTCAAAGCGGTGATTAAATTAGTTACCAGTTAAAAACATCTCAGTCTATGTTTTCAGTAACAACACATGAAAAGCTTACCTTTCCCATTGTTGGATCAGTGGGGGCCAGACTGATGCTGAACATGCTCTGTGCTGCTGGCCTTTTATATAAAGTAGCTGTGTGATGGCACAGCAGAAAGTATTGTCATACAAATAGGTTTTATAACACAAATCTAGTTACGCATAGCCACACACCACCATGGGATGATGAGTTATTGTTGTCCAGTTGTCACATGTTCATCACTACTGATCAAAACATCACTGTGCTAGTGACCGGGGGGTGGGGGGGTGTTGGTGCTCACACTATCAGCACAAAATGCTGTGTCCATTTCATTTAGGAAGACTCCTAACGTTATACACCAGGACCAGAACAAGCTTCTGCCATCATGTTCTAGTACATTAAATGCACCGAAAAAGTTAAGGAGCTGCACACAGTTATAGAATAGAATTACTAAAAAAAAAAAATACACAAACCATAAAGTATATATATTCAAATAATGACAATGCTGAATATGAGCTCTCTCTGGTCTTGCACTGCATCCATGAAAAAGTCTATAGAGAAGCAGCACTCAATTAAACGAAGTTACCGAGTCTTGCCTGCATTTCTGCTGTGATATTTGCATTTATCTCATCTACTAAATGTCTCAGTAAATGGCAATAAAGGCTATCTGATGCCTTTATTTACTAGCAATCTTAAAAACTGAGGTGTGCATGTTTTTTGAAGGCTGTTAGAATAAGGTGCATTACACAAATATAAAAGGTCCCACCTACAGACTTCTTCTGTCACTGTGCTCATAAGCATTATGAAGCTCATGCGCAGAGAGCTGACACATGGCTGTTTTATAGACCTCAATCCAAGGTCATGAGATTCCATCTTTTGTTATTCTAATGAGCAGGCATTTGGTGCTTTTGCATCCCTGCCAAGGTCTTGATCCCATTCATACAAATAAAAACCCTGATTCATCAATGCCCATAGCACATTGCCCCCGACTCGTTCTACCAGTGGGTCCTCACATAGATACATTTTACCGTTTCAAACGCTTCAGATCATTGAGATAAGGGTTAAAAACATGGTGACCCAATAATGCTGTCAATCAGTGTTAAAGGGAAATGGTCACATGTCAGAAAATAGCCCTGATGAGGTCACAGTGATGCCATCATGGTTATGCTGGCTTGGACTGGGTGAAGTCATTTTTAACAGAAAGCCTGAATTACAAACTGGACGTGAGCGGTTATTGGCGTGTTTGCTCAAGAGATGCCATCACATTGCATTATGGGAAATATGTTTAGCATTTCTAGAGCATGACCCATAATGTTTAGGATACCCTGATGCTTCTTTCATTGGCTGTTTTAAAGTGCCTTAGATTTTGTGTTACCTACTTATCCACTTTATATTTCACTTGTATTGTTTGGCATTCATGTGGACGGCGAAGTAAGAATTTCATTGTACAGGGAAACACGTTTCCTCACTGTGCATATGACAATAAACACTTTTGACTTGACTATCCTGGTCTCATTCTCATTTAAACCTGCTTCTTGTGTGCCCCCCCATCTTCATGGAAAAGCAGTTCTACATCACTTGAGTCTCATTACCTAATTAGATATTGCACATTTCAGATCAGAGGTTTTAGCCAATTGTCAAATGATACACAAACCACTGATCAAAGCCACTGGTTTCCAGTCACGACCATGATATCACTCACTAATGTAGCACCGTTTCATATGAATGCAAACAGCCACTAAACCACAGGAAACCTTTATTTCCATTCAAGAACTGGAAATAATGTTAAAACAAGTGACTGGCAGTCATGCGATGTGCTGTTAAATAAGTACTGCACACAAATCACAAAAAACAAATATAAACAGATCACAAAAATATTGTAGTATTTTGGTTATACAATACGCCCACTGCGTTCAAGAGCCTTAGAAAACAGTTTGACCACAAAACAAAATACAGAGTACAAAATATGATCAGACAAAAGGCAATATCTTAAAAGCACAGTGAAAATGTCAGTGTGTTCCTGTAGATTTTAAGACTTGGGACACATTTTACACAAATTATCAGCACAAATATAAAATGGAATTAAAGAATGAGGACTGAGGAGTTTCACAGTAAAATATGCCATGAAAATATTTTATAATAAAATGGGTATCTGTCATTTAAATTTTATTTCAATTTATTTTCAAGGTGGACTCAAAGAAACAGCCTTCAAATCTAAAGCATGTGCACAATATGAACGGCGGTAACGCTATAAAATTAACAAATCTTCGCTGATGTTAACACCTAACCTCTAAGAGAAGAACAGAAACAAAGCATTTTCTAATCACTTGCTGCAACAAGTATCTCAATTATGCATTTCTATTACTTCTTTATTATTGATAAAACTATAGCACAAGCACAAAGAAACCAAACTTGAATCAATCTGTTGTGAGACTGTCCAGCGACATTTATATATCTCAGGCTTTGTGCAACTTCTTATCTCCTCTTAACAACTTTTTGATGAGCACTTTTAAGTCAAAGAAAATTGATCTCTTTTCACACCGCTGACACCAAAAAGCAGCTGGGACACACTGGGATGTCACCAGATGTAACTTGGGTGGTTTAGCAGTAGGTCACTTCCAGGTCAGATCAGACTGTGCACGTCAAAAACACACCAACCCTGGGCGAGCAGCTTTGAAAGCAGGGTGCAAGTGAGGCCCAACTGCTCGCTAGCACAGCAAAAAGCAACTTCACTTGAGGCAGTTGCTCTAAACACGTTCTTTGCTTAAGATCCTGACTTGTAGATGTGTTACTGCTCAAATTTGTTTAATGTCATTACATTTTGTTTTTAGCAAACTCTCAGACATATTTCCAAATGTAAAGTTATGATTTGTGAAATACAAAACTGCTAAATAATGAGTATACTTTGACAAATTAATTCTGCACTTTAACATACACCTATCAACCAGCCTGTTATATACAGAATACACTAAACTGTCACAGCTGTACTGTTTTGAAAATACAGCTGGTTCTACACCACTGAGAGCTGGTTTCAAACACATATAGGCCACAGACCAGTATCAATACCACACACAAAATTCTACCCATCACCAGACTGCAAAATGGTAGAAAGGTTTTTTTTAAGCACTGCTCTCAAGCTAAGTGGCTGAGGATGGAGCAGACAGTGGATCAGAGACTCATGAGGTCTCAACAATGATAAAGCCGAGCAGAGGCGACAAGATGCAGCGGCTCAATCAGAGCATCCGAATACTGTTAGGACTGACTCAGTGAGCCTCAACAGCTATACTCTAATATAAGATCAACATTGCTGCTTTTTCAATGTCCTCCTAAATAAATGTGATCACTGATCCACAGAGGATGTGCAGCATCGCTCCTTTATAAAGAGCCAACATCTTTCAATATTGTGCACACGGTTTTTTTAGACTAAGCTGAGTTTTACCAAGTAAAAAAGTAAATAAATTTGAAGGGCACAATGTATTTTAATTGCACCTTCTGACATTCATATTTAACTTAGTTTTGGGAAAATCTAAGAACCTGAACAGGTTAGTGATGTGATGCTGTAGTAATGTCCTGACTGCATCATTAAACCTGAAAAACCTAGATAGTTGTTGTGCATTAATAATATAAAACCTGATATTTTGATATCAGGTTTTATATTATTAATCTGATATTTTGGAAATTCAGATGCATTGTTTGGATGCCACCAAGTTAATGTGTTATCACAACAAAATGATTTACTGGAAAACAAATGTAACATTGCAAAGTTTACATATTCACTTAGAAGAAATTAAACACAACTGCTCTATATACTGTAACGTAAAGTGTGCAACACGACACTGTAACATAAATGTCAATCATTCAACTCTATTAAAACAAGAACAGAGAAACAGATCTGGGAGCTGCCAGTTTAGAGGATGACAAGGTGCAGGCTTACCTAGGTTGTGGAGAGCTGGTGGGAACAGAAAGTGCAACAGACAAACCAAAGAGGCTATGAAATCAAGAAGCACACTGCATTATGCTGCAAGGCCCTGTTGACCAGATGATTGATGATATGTGTGCTAAATCCATGGAGGAGGATGAGATTAGAATGGTTGTGCTGCTGTGTGCGTAATTCTTCTCCTGAGAAGTTGTCTGTGGGTTGAGCCTACATGAGAGGTTGGGAGGTGTGAATCATGGAGGCATCCGGTGGCTCTGTTGCTTCTGGCAGGTAGTGCCAGTACTTGTGATGGATGTATCGGCGGTACTTTGGCTTCAGATGGACCTGTGAATGTGGAAACAACAGATTCTGTAGAGAAAAAGAGGACACTGGGACTAAGCGAAGGTTTGCAACATGGAAAGGGCTACACAACCAGGACAGAACTGGAACAAAAACCAGTCCGGTCCAAAACACAGAACTGGATCTGCTCGAGTCCCGACTATTAATATAGGGCTGTGTGGTGTTTGCATGCCTTAATTCTTAGTGTACAATTCCTAGTTTTAGTCCACAATTATCTTCTTCCATGGATCCTCCTAAGCCTGTAACTCGGCCAGCCTAGCCAGGCTTTTCCCTCTGATGACTTTACCTTGCCACGGTCATGCTGCAGAACAAACGGTGCCATTCCTTCTGTCCTCTGAGGATACACTGGGTAAACCTGCTGCAATGTGGGCTCTACAAACTGCAAAAATATGATGACAATCCAAACAAGGTCACAAAACTCTCATAACAAGCAGGATCATAGTGAAACTGTTAAAATCTGACTACACATTCACAGTTAAACAAATGTCTTTTCATGGCTGACTTTGCTTGGTAAATATGTACCTCTGGTGTGGTGTCCTCCATGACAGGAGGAGTAGGCAGGAAGTAGCACCCATCAGTGGGCTGGTAAAGGTATTCTGATTGCTGAGAGTGCATGACTGAGCTGGATGGCACTGACGACTGGCACCCATGCCATTGATACTGGTTTGAGACACACTGGGGAGAGAGCAGGGCAGAAAAACAGACTCCAATAATGTTCCAACCAATGCTGTATTGGTTAAACAGCAACACAGTGAGAAATCAGCAGATCACTGAAGAGCTGAGCTGACCGGGTAGTGGTGATAGGCTGGGTGCTGGTGGACAGGCTGATTGGACTGAGGGAGCATCACTGGAGGTGCAGGCTGCAAGAGAGGAAGCTTAAGTTTAGCTTTCAGACACAAAAAGCTATTTGAAATAATTAATTTCAGCTCTAGGATACTGTAATTAGAGTTTTTAGCCATTTTATAAACTAAACTATTAATGAAATTGAGTAAAATACAGTAAAATATCTGATAATTTTAAATGAGGGAGAGGAGCTGAGGAACTAGGTAAAAAGAATTAATGTCATGCTGGAAATGTGATTTAAAATATCAGTCTAATAATATGATCATTCTGTCATCACGCACCTCTTTAGGTTTTAAAAACAGACACCAAATTGCCGTAGCAGCATCTTACTTTAGTTTAAGTGAACTGGTGTTTTTAACACAAGATATGAAATGAAAACATGTCTCTAAATGACCAGTTGTTTAATATTGCTATTGCAGTCAGCTTTTACATGGGTGGGATAACAGTGAGAACTGACAGGCCAGTGGTGGCCAGGAGGGTTCACGTTAGGGCAGTGGAAATAGGCCACTCCGTTGTGGTAGGTGTAGGGGTAGCCTGTGGACGTAGTCAAGTAGAAAGTCCCACAGGACATCGGCTGAGGCATGACAGGATCTAGGTTGGTCACAGGGACTCTTCTGGCTGAGAAAAGAAAGAACCCATAGCTGTCATTTAGTGGGCATTTCAACAACAAATATGTCAGCAACTTATTGACCGTTTACATACAGACTTAATTATTCAGTTCAGGGCTCCTTTCAGTGAAAAAGTACTTTGAATTTTGAAATCATGGCAAACTCTTTGAAGAAGATCACCAAGAGGTGACTGGATTTTGCTATCAAACTAGTTGCTATTCTCAGGGGAATGGGGTATGTTGCAGCTTGGTATGCCACTGTGTGATTAAGGAAATGGCAGGGATTCAAATAAGTGAGCCACCTGCCAAAGGTCCATCAGCAGCAGACTTACTCTTTTGTGAAGCTTGTCGTTTGCAGACAGCCTGACCGATGCTGAGCTTCTTGTCTTTGAAACAGATTCCATTAGCCTGTAACACAGTATTCAAGGGAGCAGAAGCCACATTAGATTATTAAAGTCTGGCAGGTAAATTGCCCACATACCAGCCTGCTTTACTTACATCATGAAGGACTTTCAGTGCATCTTCTTTGGTCTCAAATGTGACAAACCCATATCTGTTCAAAAGACAATTCAAATAAACTGTGGTTTAACCTTTAAATTCTTAGAATATGCTCAGAGTCAAAGGACAGAAAGGCACAGCTTCCGCCACCAACCGTACATTATAGGGATGATGCAATCAACTCACCCTTTTGATATTCCTGAGTGATCTGTCACAATCTTCACCTCTTTCACAGCACCATGCTGAGAGAAGAAATGTCGCAGGTCGCTCTCACTAACCTTCAAAACCACACAAACACTTTTTTGGCTATGTGATAATCCCAAAAGAAGAGACGGTGGTGGCAGATTTAGTTAGGTTCATTCGCTCCAAATGAATCATTTCAGACCATTTATGAACAGTCACTGGCAGCTCTATGAGCCAGCAAACATTCACATGCTTTGCTGCTCTCTAGTGTCAACCACAAGCCCACAAGCCAGTGCAACCTTTGCAGCTCTCACCTTGTAGTCAATTCCCCCAACAAAAATCCGATTGGGGATGATCATGTGGTCAGTCAGGATGTCAGCGTGGTTTTCAGGGGGCAACACATCATGGGTGGGGGAGCTGCTACCGTTCTGGGACAGACAATGACAGGGCACTGTGCTCTAGTTATGGGCCAGTAAGAAACACTGGACAGCAAGTACTGATGAAGTAGGATGTAGGAGTTCTTCCCTACCAGGAAATAGTACGAGAACTGGGATTTAGTACTTGAAGAGTAGCAAATCCCCCTTTTATGTACACAAGACAGGTTTTTTCAGTATGGATACAAGGATAGTTAGCTCTGTAATGTGTTACCACATGAAAAGAAAACAAGCAGCACCAAATGCTCCTACCAGACAACATAGTGTATGACTAGCAAACCACAAGGCAACAGAAAAAATGGCTGTCTTTTTAAAATATGTTTTTTCCTAGAAGCTGTAGAGCAAATAAAATCATTAACACTTAATCACTGAAGCTCATAAAACAAAATAATAAAACAGGAGGTCAAATCTGACATACCTGCAGCCAGCAGATACAATCAACTAAGGTTAAAATGCCCATGTTGTGCTCATTTTGCTCGTTTCCAGCCATTTCATGTTTAATCTTGGTTACATCTAGGATTAGCCTGGCACTCTTCATAACTCCAAATAGTTTGTAATTGTTTCAGAATCAGAGCCAAAAAGCCTCTTCCTTAAAATGAGAGGACAGTCTGAAAATGCGTACAGTTCCTGATGCCGGTGTTGTCTCAAGTGGACAGCATAACCACAACAGCATTAATTAGTATGAATTTCTCCTCCATAGATGGGTAAACAGCAGTTCATGTACCTATTAAAAGAGACGTGCAACACTCTAAACAAAGCAGGTAACTGAGAAACCCCATATTTTCACTGGCATAATGCAGACACAGTAACTCCACCAGCCTTACAACAATTCTCTCTAACGTTACAGAAACAGCTCATTGACAGACATGCAACATGCGTTTTTTTTTACACTTCAGCTCATTGACAGACATGCAACATGCGGTTTTTTTAAACTCACCTTTAAGTCCAACAAAGTATTGGAAACATCACCCATACACACACAGTCCCAAAGTAGTGAAATTAATTCCAACAGGTATCTTAGCACCACCAATAACATCATGGATCGTTAATCCGCTCCTTAACTAGCAACACATCACATGTGGCAGACACACTGGCCTCTAGCAGTCAAAACAAACAGGTACTGTGCTCCTGGGGACTCCAGCTTTGATCAGCTGAACATCCACCGCCGAGGGGGCTTCACTGCCCTGCTGCTGGTAGGTTAGACCCGGTCAGGCAAAACGGCGAGTCCCGGTACAGGAACATTCCTGGACATGCACTAACCTCAGGCCCTGTATTTTTCTCCACATCCTCTGGTCACAGTGCAGCAGCAGGGGGAAGTAAAATACATCCACAAAACCAGCTGCAGTCGAAAAATCCCGCTTTTACAACGGCACCGTGGATGTTAGGCAAACTCACATGAACGCGCAATGGCCTGGATTTAATGCCCATTCAAGAAAATCTTTAAACTATTTTGTTAGAAAAAAGTGTCTTGTGAGGGAGAGTTTTCCAGATGTGTATAAACCAAGTTGCATCTGAAATACTAGAACATACGTACACCTCATTTTTTTAGCTTTAGGTCACGTCTAAGATGATAATTCAAAGTAACGTTAAGTCAAAAAACAAAGAAAATCATGACATGGGCCCGTTAATCACAACAGTATCTGCCAAGAACAACAACGCTGATACCTCACATTTGTACTAGTAGTTAAATATACACGGTTACTTTCCAACACAGATTTTTAAAACATTATTAAATCTTACTAGCATAACGCCTATGCTAGCTAAACAACATGCTAGCGAGGCGATAGCAGCGGAGACCTGGCAGTTCACTCACCCCACTCTGGTTGTCTACATCCATAGCCACTTTCATTTGGCTAAAGTCCGTCTCTAAAAGACTTACGAAGATTAAGATCTCAAATTAATCATGGCCTATCGGGGTAATGCTTAGCTACTCTGGTTCATAGGCACCCTCCACCGACACTCCCTACACCACTTACTATCGCGCTCTTCTTTAATGACCTCATCACTCCGTACGTTACGTCGGTCCGTCACTCGGCCGTAAACCGTTCATTCCACAAAAATCAAAAGTTTTTTAACTAGTTCTCTAGTATCAAATTGCCTCTTCGCGGAAATGCATCGCATTCACCAAAGAAAAACAAATGGAGGAGCTTATCTCGATAAGATTCAATGCAATTTGCTTCCGTCCATGACAGCTTGTTAATACAGTATAGGTAGACCTAAATCTTTGTGTTTACTTCAATTTTAACCAGCAGGTTAAAAATAAATATATATAAGTAGACTATTCCAAGACAGATTTGTAAAGTACTACATGATGTCCACACAGGGGCGTCATTTCCCTGTAAATAAAAATGTCATATCCACACAGTCTTCACTCCATCATATCAAAACTCATAATGAAATGCAAAACCTTGGATGATTTTAGGACAGATATTATTAAGGTCAGCACAGTTTGTCATGTCCAACTTATTTAACTCAAGAATGCCAAACCTATGATATCACTCAATCCTTTAGGAGTAGTTTCTCACTCTAGACTGAATAGTAGTCCATCTATCCACTATCTATATCTCTTATTCCTGAATAGGGTCGGGGCTGGAACCAATCCCAGCTGACATTGGGTGAGAGGCAGGGTACACCCTGGACAGGTCGCCAGTCTGTCACAGGGCTGGCACATAGACAAAACACACACAAACACACTCCTAGGCTGCGAGTCTTTGGACTGTGGGAGGAAGTTGGAGTACCCGGAGAGAACCCACACAGGCACAGGGAGAACATGCAAACTCCACACAGAAAGGATCCGGGTTGCCAGGGCTCAAACCTGGAACCTTCTTGCTGTGAGGCAACAGCACTAACCACCACTCCATTGTGCTGCCTGGCCACCACATAACAAGGGGAAAAGAATTTATAATAGGTTTCCCTAGACCACATCTATATTATTCTATATACATTAGCTAACATCTTTTCAAACCTCTTTTCTGTCAACAAAAGGCTCATGATGATTTCAGTGTGTAAGTCCTCTCAGCCTGTGCTGCACATTCCTCGCCTCCTTTCTCCAGAT